AATTGTATCACTGTTACCAAATAATGCATACTTAATTAAATCTCACAATATTTTAATCTAGTATTCACGTTGCCATGATATAGAATGCAGGCTATTTACAATGATTGCTATGCTTTTAATGCCAGTTTTCCTTTAAAACCAGCAGCAGCAACAACCAGCCCTATACACTGCTCCAAACCTTGTTTGCAAGGATTTTCATTTGCATTACTAATGTACAGATTTGCACAGAGCAGAAAAAGTGGGTATTTTTGTTCTAAGAGATTCTGCCTTGTATGCTACCTGCATCCACATTCGGCCACTTTCATCCCTTCATAGTTATATATCAAAGTGGGCACACCGGCATCATCCTTGTAAAGAATGGAGATTGAATCCAGTTTGGTTGGAACACAACAAGCCTTGGAAGCTTTTTTAGGGTTTTGGAGATGCACCAGAGTTTGGACAATAGCATGTTTTGTTGGGGTAACGTTATCTGTCAGAGGGAAGAAGCAACCTCCTTTACACTCAAAAGCCTCGTAATCTTTTGGTGCAATGATCCAGGAATCCCAGCCAATCTCTTCAAAGTTCACATGGAGAGAAGTTCTCCTGCAGTGGTTGGCTCCAATGCTTCTCTTGCTTCTGGAGGAATGGTGAGGTCCAGTGATGGTCTTTTGCTCCCCCTGTTCCTCCTCTTCTGATGAAGTGCTGTTCTTTCCTAATTTCCTTAGCATGCTTTCTTGTTCGTGAACAATCATCTCCCGGAGCTCCACTTTGGTCTCTTTAGTCCCATTGCTGCGGTCATTGGAGAACACTATTAACAGGGGCAGATTTTTAGAGTCAGGGGCAACACTGATATCCAGCTTCCCACAAGTGAAACCACCCACAGCCTTACTCTCTATAACAACCTCTAGCTTGTTTTTAGTCTTCAGTTTGTCTGCCCTAACCCATCTTTTCACAGCTCTGGAGACTTCAAACATCTTCCAACCGCACTTCTGGATGTGGTGGGAGACAAGGAAAGATTTGGTACTTTCTGGGTTTTCACCGTCTAGAACATCATAAATGACCATGTTGCCTTCCAGCCTAGAGAGAGACCCAGCTTCCCTGTGACAGGAGATATGAATTCTCAGTTCAGCTCTGGTGATTTCCTCATACCGTGGAATAGAGATGTTGAAGAGCAAGATGTGTTTCTGACATGGGTTTTCTTTGGGTGAAGCTAAAGAAACAACATCTGCAATAGGAAATGAAAACGTGGTTATAGTGCTTCTGACTGTCCAAGTAACTTGCTTGAATTTTGGGGATAAAATAAGAGCATGGATACCCAGCATTAAAAAAAAAAAAA